TGCAGCAACTGCAGCAGCAACTGCAGCAGCAACTGCAGCAACAGCAGCAAACGTCTCCCGTTCCCTCCTGGGCTCTCCTGATGACTGCACCGGCAGCAGCAGCAGCACCTCCCCAGCAGGCGCCGCAACAGAGTCCCCTTCACCAGCAGCAACAGCAGCAGCAACAACAGCAGCAGCAGGAGCAGCAGCAGCAGCAGCAGCAGCAGCAGCAGCAGCAGCAGAAGAGGGAGAGCGTCAACCAGGGGAGCCGCTGGAGAGCCTGGCTGCGTGGTACCGTCGTCGTTACGGCAGCGGGGGCGGCGTGTGTCTGCCTGTCTCTGGCGACAGAAGAGACAACAGCAGCAGCAACAGCAGCAGCAGCAGCAGCAGCAGCAGCAGCAGCAGCAGCATGGGTTCTGTGTTAGAGTGTATAAAGAAGTTTGAGCTGCTGTGTGCAGAGAGGAGACACCGCAGCAGAGAAGCATTCATTGAGGACCAGCGTTATGTATTGGCCGACGTCATTCGTTCTTTCTCTCCTTTTCGTGTTGTCTTCACCGCAAATAAAATAAAACAAAACAAACAAAAAATAAAACAAAAAATAAATATTAAACTAAAACAGGAGACAGACACACACACAGAGAGCCAGGGGCAGCATATACAACAGGGGGCCCCCAAGGGGGAGGAGGAGGAGGAGTCGGGGGGGGGCCCCGCTGAGGGGGCCCCTGCAAAAGGAGAACTCACGGAGCGGGGGGCCCCCATAGTAGGGGGGCCCCCAGAGGGGGCCCCTGCAGAAGAGGGTACAGCTGCAGCGGGGGCCCCCACAGAAGGGGCCCCCGCTGGCGGTGCTGCGGGAGACAAAATGAAGGGCGAGGGGGGGCCCCCAGGGGATGAGGGGGCCCCTGGAGCAGAGGAGGGGGCCCCCAAAGATGAAGGGGCCCCCAAGAGAGATAGAGCGGGGCCCCCCAGAGGAGATAGAGGGGCCCCCATGGAGGCCGAGGGTGTGAAGGGGGAGGAGACTGCTGCTGCAGCTGTCTCTCCTGCTGCTGCAGCAGCAGCAGCAGCAGGAGCCAAGCCCGCAGTGTCTCCTCAGACCCAACAACATACAACTGAGGAAACTCCTGCTGCTGCGCCTGCTGCTGCTGCTGCTGCTGCACCGGCTGATGCTGCAGCAGAAGCAGCAGCAGCAGCAGCAGCAGCAGCAGCAACAGCCGCAGCAGCAACAGCAGATCCTGAGCCAAAGGCCCGCCAGGACGAAGGTTTGAGTCCAGCCTCTCCTGCAGCAGCAGCAGCAGCAGAACCACCACCACCACCACCAGCAGCAGCAGCAGCAGCAGAACCAGCAGCAGCAGCTGCTGCTGCTGCTGCAGCAGCAGCAGCAGAGAAGGGGAACCCCCGCAAGCGGCGCCGGCGGCAGCGGGTTGAGAGCTTCGTGGCGC